CTCCATCTCCATCTCCATCTCCATCTCCATCTCCATCTCCATCTCCATCTCCATCTCCATCTCCATCCTCATCCCCATCCCCATCCCCGTTCCCTCCTGCCCCATCCCTGTCGGCCGGGGCGGTACCGCACAGGTACCCCAGACCGCAGCGCAGGTGCCCGGTGTGCGGCGCGATGCTCTCCGGGCCGGAGGCTGTCGGGGCGGCGGGTCCCTCCCAAGCCCCCGCTGCCGGGTCACTCGTGGGGACTCGCTGTCCCCAGTCACACTGTGTGAGTGTGATCCAAACATCCAGGTCTGTTTGGATTCTGTTGAAGGCTTTATGAACCTTCCTGGTCTAAGTTTTCTGTAGCAAGAGTAAAAATGTCCTATTGCCAGCTTGGAAATGGGGAAGTGTATATCCACATGTACGGGTATATTCCTGGAAAGAGTGTGTTTACACTGGAATATACAGCATACATACTGTAAAGTCCCCTTTTCTCATTGCCCTAGAAGATACTTTTGTCAAATTCACATTGCTGTCACTCTGAAAATACACTGATAGTTCTCTGGACTTCTTCAAAGGACCACCTTAAAGACTTGCTTGCTCTTCAGAGTCATGTTGAGGTTTTTTGTACAAATACACTTTGTAGATTTCTGTGATTACTTGTGAATGCTTTGCTTTTAAATGGGATAGATCATTGCAGATGTACTTAAAGGACACCTTGTATGCAAATTATTTAATGGTTTACCAGTCAACTTCATCTTTCTCAGACCTCAACTAGAGATCATATATATTTATGTGGTGTATTGGTAAGTAATTTTCCCTTTGGATGTTTATAGCCAGGTTTTGAAGTCAATACATCCCAGATTACTATGGATTTTAAAACACTTGATGGATTCTTAGCTGCCTTACAGCTACCTGGGATCAGTTTTTTACTGAAAAAAAAACAAACAAACTTGAAGTTTATAAGTAACAATGGAAAATTATTTCAGGCACTGCTATGTATTGCTACCAACTTTTCCCATTTAATAGTAGTTATTTGTTTTTTTTGACTGATACAGATTTTTTTCCAGGTGGATTTATGCTTCCAGTTAGTAACTAATTTTTCACTTCATCTATAGGTAAGTTGAACTGTGATC